CTCTGTCCATGAGCTCTAAGGAATATACTCAAAAGACTATGGGTATCAATCAAACAAGTGCAATTTAAAAGCCTGTGATATTTTTATTTATAATTTCAATAGCACCCAATGTAGTCAATTAATTTTCTAAATATAATGTGAATCTGCATTTTAGACCATAAGAATTTTCCATTATCCTGTAATCAGATTAACAGTTAACAACAAACCGCTATATAAATAAACAAACCTTAACCATAGCCCTTTAATCTTGTTTGATGACATACAGTGTTGACCTTGTTGTGATGAAATTATAACGGGGTAACCATGAGGAGCTCTTTAGCATTTGTAATTAGGATTTTGTGCAACACTGCTGTAATGATCTTTGAATGTATAATGATGATGGTATTAAATGAGTGATAACATTTTCGGTTGCACTGCTGCTTATAATACCGTAGTACCTGTAATAAATGATAACTTGTAATACAATGACTGCATAAATACTTTTTGGCTGCTGATTGGAAATGCTGAATGGATATATTTCAAACTTTTGTTTTTGTTTACTCAAATACAGCATTTTTCAAGAACTCTATACTATCACTGACTGGCTATTTAAAAATAAATCCTGATTTGTTAATGTGATCTGAATTTGCAAATTCAACAAATACATTTTGATGAAGTGCTTCTTGTCATGTGATATATTTTATTTAAGTTTGGCAGTGAGATGATGCAATATGTTTCAGGTTGTAAACTATTCTACTTCAGAATGAATACAGCTGCAACAATATTTTTTAATGGAAATGGCAGAATGAGAGGTAAAATTACATGTTCTATAAAATATCACAGAAGCTGACGACCTATTATGCAACAATATTAAAACTCAAAGGTTCCAGTAAAACTACATGGGATAAAAAGGCAAATATGTAGGCTAACATGTATTAAAAAAAAGGAGCAAACAGAAATGTGGTCTCCATCACTTATACAAAGCAAACAACCGAATAAGACGATAAACAAAAAAGTCAAGCCAAGTACCGTCTTTGTGTGTCACATCTAAAGACCGTATAATACCTTTGGATAAAGCACATCCAAGAACACCAATAATGATAATAAAAACCCAACCAAAAATGTATGTGGGGGTGTATTAATTACCAGTCATGTATAGTACCAATAATACATGCTCATTTAGGGCCAGTTACAGCACTTGCAGTTATCTTGGTAGACGGCAGTTCACACCAAGTACTTTTGGCTCTGTGTTTGGACCATCTGGTGTAGTAACACACCAGGTTGGAAGAGGCTGAAACATGTAAGTGATCAGTGAACGTTCTTGATAAACATCGTTAATTATTAGGGGAATGAATTAAGGTGCTATAGTCAGGCTTTTTATTGTACATAAACTCACCCAAGCTGGTGATGATCAAACAGAGACCTTAAAGTGAATCAGTCAACATTAGTTTAAAATGGAGCCCTTATTCAAACATCAAGTTAATCAGTTTAAAATGCCTTACCTGCAGTTATAATTAGCTTGCTCATGTTTGTGCTGTGGGGATAGGCAACAATAGAAAGAAAATCATGAGTTTAAAACCAATAAAAAATATGTAAACCATTATATTTTTTCTGGTATGAATCGTTTCAGTAGCATTTACCCGTTGCTATGTCTGAATAATCAATTCATTTAAAAGCAAACAACCCAACTTGAAATATCTGTAGTTCCATTTCCAAACTACGTACAGTACAACCTCAAAAAAACTAAAATATGTTTCATGTCGGTGCTCATATAAAATAAATAAGACTTTCCCACATTTCATGAATGAAATAACATGTTTTTTATTATTATTAGTCAATTTATTGAACATGTTAGAAACAAAACAAATAATAATAATTATAATAAAGAGAAGCAAAATAAAATTAAAAAAATAAACGTTCAAGGTATAAAAAAATAAATTCTCAAATAGTTTCCATCATGTTCAAAAGGGGCAAGAAGAAGCTTATACACATGTTGATTCAGATCACTGGAGCCTGACGATGTATAAACCTCAGTTTGCTATGAATGCTATTCAGTCCAACACAATGGACTGCATCGTATTGTCCTTCAAATATCTTTTGTTTTTGTGTATACGACTACTATTGTGTAACAAAAAACACCCACAGAATGTAGACAAATATATAAAAGAGATACAAACACATAGTTCAATCACGCAGACAAAACCAGACACGTTCTTTCAAAAATATGTTTGTATCATTCATTTGTTTGTAGATTTATTGTATTCTAACTTTGGTTCTCACTCTTTATGTGGATTAAGTTTCATTAAATGTTGAAACACCCCCTTGGAATAAATAGCAAATTATGAAATGTGTTTTATAACCACATCTTGTCCAAAAGAAAACATTATTTAATAAAAGAAGATGATTTGATCAACTACTAGTCAAACATGGTAACAGTTGTTAAGGACTTCTCATTTTGAATTAAAACATTTCAAAAATTATGAAAAATGTGTGTAGTTAAATAGGATAAAAGTTTGACACTTACACGTTGATCAGAGATGGAGTCAACTTTCTGTCCCTGCTGTGACTGAGGATGTGCGGCAACGAGGCCTTAAAAATGCAGCTAAAGGGCTGGGGCAGATTTAGGGGATTCAATTTGGAAGGGAACACTTTCAACTTTATTCTTCAAATTAATAAAGGTGCTTTTTCAAATATAATTTTAGTATAATTGACCTGTGTTTTAAAAAGTATATCACTAACCCACCCACTAAAACCCTGGTTAACCCCCAGTCAATTCATTTATGTAAGTAATTGCATTTAAATACCTGTCAATCAATTTGAAAATGATAGTGGTTAACAGCGTTCCATCAAGGTCAGGGTTTTGACACTGAGCAATTATGTTATGCAAGTCATGTAATGTTCCAGCACACCCATTTTTGCAACATGTGCACGCAGAGGACCTGTTTTTTCTTCTTTCTTACATGTGCATCAGGTTTAATTATCTTCCGTCATCTCATTTGTCTTTCCTGCAGTGAACCTTGTGATAGTTTTCACCTCTCACCGGGTAAGAAGTCATACAGAGCTGACACTGTGAGGAATGTTCACAGTTCATCAAACAAATCTATACTTTAAGTACGTTGTTTTATTTGTACCTAATTTATAACCCAAACCAAACTTCTATATACGTAGATACTGTAATGTACTTTTGGAGAAAGCTGTTTCAACATGATTCCTTGGTATAAAGATGGACAAAAAGTTAAACTGGGAACTATTTAATCTAAAATAGAAACACGTATGGGTATAAATTGCCGCCTATAAATAGAGGAAGTAGTTGGTTGTGGTTTATCATTATAAAACTTACAGCAACTTTGCTTGGGTGAGAATGTATTAATCAAAACAAAAAAAGATGAATCGTTGTTAGATTTACATTTTGTGCAGGATACCATACAGACAGTTCTTCATTAAAAGGGTTTAAACAATTTCTTAATTAAAACTGTATAATAAAACATCACATTTTAAAAGTCCGTCAGTTTTCCCAGCGTCATAGTCAGGAACATGTTGGATTTCCAATTTCTGTTTCTCATATTTTATTTATAATGTTGAACACATAGATCATTTAAAGAGGGAGTCTGTGGCTCAGTGGGATAGTTCGCTGATCTTCGTATTAGGGGAGAGCAAGTTTAAGTCCCACTGCAGTCAGCATGTCGTTGTGTCCCTGGGCAAGACACTTCACTTTACTACTGAATGTATGTAAGTCGCTTTGGATATAAGCGTCTAACAAGTGACATGAAATGTAATGTAATGTAAAGGATAGTACTGTAGCTTTTTGTAAGAGCAGGCATTGAGTGTTCTTGTATTTTAATGTGTTATTTTATACCTCAGAACTGTGGGAAACAGTATTTTGATCTTTCTGTGTGTACAAACATATTTTGAGATTGACAATAAAGAAACACGAAATGAGCTAAAACTGTTGAAACAACATAGTGCTGCTGACAAGGGTGTTATCATATATAAAATATCAGTATAAGCAGCTTTTTCATATTACAGGAAGTCATTTTTGTAATTGTTTGTAGACAAAATGCAGTAGCTTGCACTGGTTCTCTCATTTGAATGTATTTTCCATGAGGCAGCTTGTTTTTGTTGAATGTGTCTTTTGAATTAGAAAAATCGATCCGGACAAACAAGATGTGGAAATCTTAGTCTTGATAAGTTAAGGTATTTCTTTTTTTATTAACTCATTAATTTAGCGATATTCATTTATATTTATTCACATGAAGACATTCATTACATAAATACCTGCTATAGGAAACATTTGTGTCTTTATGTAGGACAAAGGCAATCACTCAGTTGCTGAATAGAAACCAAATCCCATACAACAGGGTTAGATACACCAACAATTATATAGATATACAATAACCACATAATTAGGTAAGGCATGTCAGTTTGAATATTAGGAGTGAGAAAAACAAGAACATACACACCCAGCTGGTTTAGGTACACCTTCAATAACAGACATCAACATGAATACAACTGTATTTACACAGTACAACATGCTTGTATTATGTCTTGATAAACAATAATAATTGCATATTGATGGACATGGATCGAAGAACATTGTTACTCTTAACATATACAGTAAAGGGTTTCCCACACATAGACTTTACTTGGGCGGGCCGCCCAGGTATATTAACGGCCGCCAAAGTATATTTAGCGACCCATTTAGGTTTTTTAGCCATTTAGGTTTTTTTGTTGTTGTTTTTTTTACTACTGGTATGCTTTTTTTAAATATTAGATTTGTTCCCTGATCTGATTGTATTGTTATTGTTAGGTAACTGAAAAGAGGAGGAAGTAAAATATGTAAACTTTTTCTTATTGTTAAGTGTAGTATATCAGTGAGGCCTACATTATGTTTTCTTAAATTAACTCAATGGTGATTAATAACAGGAAATTGTAATTATAACAGCTTTTGACAATTCTCCCCATTTGCTTCGAAAAATAAATGATACCACTTTTGCGCGGTAAAATGATTCATGTACAACACTTTAGGGCCTTGTGCAGCACGTGCAGGACGCTTTAAAGACCACATCTGCTGAGCACTTTTGGAGATGACCTCGCCCATTGTCACAGTGGTTAGGGAAGTGCCCCGTTCGGCCAACACAGCCGTTTCCAGAAGGTGTTTTAGTGGTTGAGGGTGTTGCAGGGGGAGTTGTTGTGGTAAGGCCAGGAAAACCTAAAATAATAAGTCATACAAATGTATAAATTGTCTTTAACACCATTTGTCATCATATTGAATTTTCATTCAGAGTATCTCTTCCGAATTAATTTACTTTTCTACATAATTAAGTGTAACCACATGTATGCAGTGAATAAAATACACACATACAATCTCCTCCTCATTAGAGGATGGGATGTACACGGTTGTGTTTATAGTAGTTACCTTAAAACAGGAGATTATGCAGGTGGCTGAGGAAAGGGTTGTTGCCCATTTTGCAGAACTGTCCATTCATATCATCTAGGTCCAGAGACCAAAGAAACGCTCCTCCAAAGTTGTTAGTCTTTAGGTAACTGACCTAAGAGGATGAGGAACAAAACACTTTAAAAGCTGAGGCCAGGTGGACCAACTATCTATTTAACCAGATTTGTGTACAACCAGCCATTTGTAAAGGATTTTCCGATTAATAGTTTGAATTAAATAAATGATTACCTTAGTGTCAAGGCTTTTTTTGTTGTCAAATCCAACCCATTGATTTTCTGTGGTGGCATATGGAGCTTTCTGATCAAGTATCAGCTCGGATGTAACTCCATCAAGATAAAGGCATGTCTGAACAAAAGGGTTACAAAATGTCAACATTTCCAACAGAAATGTGTCACACCAAATACTGCGGAATCTGTAAGGCTATAATAAAGTGATCGATTTAAATGTATTTCATTCACAGGTTGCAATTTACCTCATAAGCAGCCCAGAAGCCTCTTCCCCAGTGTAACATCCTTCTTCACCAGGACCATTCGCTGGTGCTCCAACATCACTGGAGGCAGTGGAGAGATCAAAAGCTCTCCCGTATGCCGCTAACCCCAAGTTTAGCTTTTGTGCTGGTGCTCCCCGGTCCCGCCAATACCGCATAGCATAGTCCTAAAATGTGGATTAAAATAACAAAATACAATGAGAACGCATCTCTTAAAATAACTTTTGTTTTTGCAGTGTACATATGAATCCCTGTACTTACAGTGTTAGAGTACGTTTTGTTTCCTGTGTCCTGGGATCCGTTGTATAAGGGGCTGTGATGTCCTGTGACACTTTCCCAGGGGCCGTGAAAATCAAATGTCAACACATTAATGAAATCCAGGTGCCTGAAAAAGAGAAGAAGAGATCACATTCAGAAAAACAAAGACAACAGGTAATCATGGGTAATGTAAAGAGATACATGATATCATTCTTACTTGGCAATCTGTGGGATTTGATAACTGGCATCGATGGTTGCTTTCTCAGCAGAGACACTAGCAGAGATGATTAGGCTGTCACGGTTAATTGTTTCCCCCTCATACTCAAAGGCCTCTTTGAGCTCCTACACAAGAAGCATGGTTAAGTTTACATTTAGTTTACAATCTGATATTTACATATGTGCTATAGACAGTAAGATCAATTCAGGATCTGACCTTGCAAAGCATTGTGAATCTCTGCTTGTCCTTTGATGTGCTTCCTGCTCCTCTGGGGTTCCTCCAGTCAAGGTTTAGCCCATCAAACCCATTTTCTCTCAATACTTTTATAGCAGACTGGATGAATGTTTCTCTGTTTTGTTTTGTTGCCACCATTGCAGTAAATCTGGTGAACAGTTTAATAAAGCAATGCTCTCATGAAGACACTCAACATACTGCATTTAGGGGCTCTGTTCTAATAGCTCAAACACTAAGCAATTTGCAAAGACAAATAAACAGACATGAGGCAAATGGTCTAGTGAGCATGTCTTTCACTCGTAATTATGAATGATGATTAAAAAGAGAAATTATTTGCACCAAGCGTGCATCAGCTTAAAAGAAAAAGGTATTTAAGTGATTAAAATTGGTCGCATTTCATTTGCATGGATTTAATACAAACACCCAACATCAACACATTTACTTAATAAAGTTTCATGGTAGGTAAAAAAGTACCAACATTTAAAAAAGGTTGCTCACATTTTTCTTTATCAATTATATTATATTATTATTAATAATTAAGTGACTTACTTTTGTGTGTCAAAGGTCAAGCCACCAACAGCCAGCAGGGTTTTGAGCAGTGGATTCCTGTGAAAGCAAAATATGTTTAGTTATTATTGTCTAGAAAAATCCAACATTTTTGCACAACTTTTGCAGACCATCCAAAGGGTCTTCACTGACCTGGTTTTGAGTCCATTAAAGGACTGATAGCGTTGTATGTCAGTCCCACTGCTAGGGACCAGCTCGTTTTGGGTATTGATGTCAGAAAAAGCATAGATCAGATGGGTACACTTGTTCGGATCGATATCTGAAACCGTGAACTTTCCCTCATCCTCTCTATCTGCAGCCTCGCTGTCATAGTAACACACCAGCCTGGAGGAAGAGGCTGAGAGATGGAAGAAAATCACGATGTTTTTAATTAGCTTTGAAGACATCAATTATAACAACATCCTTTTTTGAGTAAGTATCTTTAGTTTTCTGTTATTAAGACAGTTAATTATGATAAATCCATGTTATAAACTTACCCAAGCTGGCGATGATCAAACAGAGACCTTCAAAAGGAATTACTTGTTAGCATCGGTTAAAAATGACTGTTAACAATGCAATTCACCCAAATCACAAAATAAAATAAAAACAATACACAGATTTTCTTAATATTTTCTACAAGTCTCCAGCATTACAGAAATGTACTACAGTAATCCCAATATATTGAAGGTGAATAGAATTTTCTGTATTTAAAAAAAAGTCCACGGCAACTTTTACTCTGGATAATCAAAAATGTCTGCATTGTTAGATCCTGCATTTTTATTTTTGATTAACTGACCCTTCAATTGAAACATTTACTTGACCAGTGTGTCTTATCTGTGGTGAGCGTGAACCTGCACATGTTGTCACTATGTGGAAAAGCAGAAATATGAAAAACAATGTTACATTTTCAGGTAAAAAAAACAAAAACAACATGATTTTCAGACAAATCCTGATTCTGTTGTCAAAAGTCAGAAAATGGCACATCTTTAGCAAGTTGTAGTTCAGTACAGTTATTTATACATTTTTTGACAAATATTTGCGATGGTAGCTTTCAGATTTTACGAAACAGTCATTTTTTTCTGAAAGATTAGTAGTGAAGCCAAAGGTATCAGCAAGTGACTACAGAATGGTCCCAAGAGTATTTCAGCCATTTAAGGACACTGGAGATGATAATGACATTCAGTTTCCCACTTGAATCACAAATCAGACACAACCACATAGCATAGAGTTATGATTGAGTGCTGTCCAGATTAATGAGACTCTTTTCTTGTCAAAAAGAATATGTTGCGTAGCAGGATGGTAATTACTAATAGAGTAATTATAAAAGTCAAACCAAGTACCTGCTTGAGGAATATTAAAAAGAAATTCCCAGACCCATAACATTTTCACTACGTTTCATCAAGTATTACAACACACAATCCTCATTTCAATACAGTTCAGTGTTTTACATCTGTGTCAGTTAAACTCTTGCTTGTATATCAGACTACTTTTTTGTCATGTGTTTTAATCCCATTGCAGATGTAATTAGATCATGACTGAGCTGAATGACAAGGTTTGATCAATGAAGTTTAATCAATGAACTTCCTATGTCTTTAAGACAAAAAAGTAACTGGTAAAACACACAACGACAATACCATTAGGTACATCACAATTAAAAGAATAGTGTAATTAGTTTAGCTAGTTTGAAGAATTGAGCAGACAAAGCAATACATCAACAACAACGAATACATCATTGAACATTTGTTAAAATAAAAGCAAGAGAGACTTACATATGTTATGGGGAAAGAAGCATCTACTTTTGGTCCGGCAGTGGCTCAGTCAGTAGGGGCTTGGACTGTGAGCCGTAGGGTCACCGGTTCAAGTCCCCGACCAGACCTAAATATGGAGTGTGGACTGGTACTTGGAGAGGTCCCAGTTCACCTCCTGCCCTGCTGTGGTGCCCTTGAGCAAGGCACCGGACACCCCCCTTCCCCCTCACTCCCATTGCTCCCCGGGCGCTGTACAATAGCTGCCCACTGCTCCTAGTACTACTCCTGGTACTAGGATGGGTTAAAAGCAGAGAACACATTTCACTGTGTGTGCTGTGTGCTCTGCATGTGTGACCATTAAAGAGGGGGTTTCATCCCTCCCAATTCTATAACTCTTTCTATATCATGAAAAGCTTGGAAACTGGTGACAATATTAATACTGAAGCACTACAACTATTAAGACAGCTAGAACTAAATTATTTCCATAAACAGTGCAGACAAAAAAAGAAAAAAAAAAGTAGGGGCTTGGACTGTGAGCCGTAGGGTCGCCGGTTCAAGTCTGCGACCAGACCTAAATATGGAGTGTGGACTGCTACTTGGAGAGGTCCCAGTTCACCTCCTGCCCTGCCGTGGTGCCCTTGAGCAAGGCACCGGACATCCCCCTTCCCCCCCTTACTCCCTTTGCTCCCTGGGCGCTGTACAACAGCTACCCACTGCTCCTAGTACTAGACTCCTGGTACTAGGATGGGTTAAATGCAGAGAACACATTTAACTGTGTGCTGGGTGCTCTGCATGTGTGACCATTAAAGAGGGTTTCATCCCTCCCAATTCTTCTTCTTCTTGAGTGACTGATGACTCAAATTCAGTCAGTGCTGTTTTTAAAATGAGTAGACTGCTGAAAGGGTGTGGCAGATATCTAGGGTGTAGACAACATTCTAAGCAATTGAAAACCCATCTAATTGTAATGCATATTGTACTGGGACAATAGAAGAATGTCAACTTATGTCAGGCCCTTTTTTTAATTAAAACTGTATTCACTAAAATGGCGTGAAACCACCATGTTCAATTCCTTTCTGTCAAAGAGGTTTTTATACTCTCTTATAGCGGCACTGAGAGCTAGACCGAATCAGACCTCCATACAACGTTTCATTTTGTAAAATTAACAAAGTAAGAAGTTAAAGAACAGCAAAATGAAGCAGTAAACTACACAGCAGCCCTTCTTTGTTTTGTAATCATTTTATCTTCTTGCGTGTAACTCTGTCCTATATCTACTGTAGTTGTTAGTTGCCAAACACATAAATATCGCCCTGTATAATAATACATTATTGCAATAATCCTGTAGTAAAAATGTTTGTGAAATTAGCTCAAAGAGGAAACATATATGTATCAAATCTCTCCATCCAGACTCAAACTTATTACTTTAAAATGTAATTTCCAAGATCTTAAAACCCTAAACATAGACCCTAAAACCCCCCATCCTTGGAAGTCTGGTATGAGCCATAAAGAAAGTCCACCTGTTACTGAACTACTTTGAAAATGACATTTCAAAATACTTTCTACAACAACATGGTATTTCAATGGCATTATGAATCAAAATGTTTTCACCTGGCCAGTTCCTGATAGAAAAAAAAGTATCTTTATACGGCAACATTTGTTTAGGCTCCTCTTAATGTAGTAAAACTAATTTAAATTAAGCAGCAATACAAGTAGTAATAATTAAATAACTTACAGAGGTGAAAGTTAAAGTATTAGCAAAAAGAGTTTATACTTTATTCATACTTATATATATCTCTTGTAGAAGTCTCTGAGGGCGGTGTCCGATGTGTGTGTGTGGGGTGTGCCACAGTCTTTCATAATTATGTGTGTGTCACCATTTTTAAGTGTGCATTTTACAGTCCTTGATGTGTGTGTGTGTGTGTGTCACATCTTCTGATGGAGGCCACAGCTCTGGGAAAGAAGTTGTTCAACAGTCTATTGGTGTTTGGCTCAGTGGCGTAGCCAGGAATTATTGTGTGGGTGGGCCTGGAGAAATGTAGGTGGGCCAGGGGGAGACTTATTAAGCGTGGGGTCTGAGCTGAAACTTCATTAATGATTTTAATGATTTGTTAATGCACTAATTGAACATAAGCATAAACTAGCAGTGAAAACAAAAACATAGGCACGGCTTTAATGGTACTTTTATCGTTTTTTTTGGAGAAAAAAATAAGGTAAACTAACTAACACAAATTGTGAACAAAACTATCATTGCTTTTTATTTTAATTAAATACATAATATTTCACATCAAAAGAAAAGAACAAGTGTTTTAACAAATCGTATTAAATAATGTGATGACATAACTGTAAACAGAATAGCTGAAACTTTAACAAAATAACTCTAAATTACCTCTAATCATTAGCCCATGTTTGTATAATTGAGTTAACTCCGTGTGTTGCTGCTAGCATACATAACACCTGACGTGGAAAAGTTACTCGTGGATGGGGCTACAGCGCTACTAGAAAGACAGTCGAACCCGGTGCATTTCTCCGTTTGAATGTGGTGCACTTTTACAAGATGTTTAGACAAATTGCTCGTGTTACCGCCCTTCCATGCTAAACTCTTATTGCACTTTTGGTAACGAGCATTGTCCACATCGAACAGGTAAAGTTTAACCACACCTCGGAGCGCGTTCTCTCCGCCATCTCCTCCGTGTGTGTGTGTTGCTGCATGTACAGTAGAGATGGGCGAGTCCTGATTCATCCGGATCATTAACCCGGATCCTAGAAGTGAGCTGGTCGTGACGAGTCTCCCCTCTCCATTAACCCGAGTCCTTGAGTCCCACACTTGGTGTGACGTACAAATTAAAACTATAAATTGCGTCACTCGCTACTCTCTTTATAACATGTAAAATCACATTACAACGTACCCCAGTCCATCTGCCTACCCTTTAGCAAGTATACAGGATAGCTGCCTGCCAGAAGTTATCGTTTGGCTCAGGGGAGGGGACGCGGATCAGTGAAACTTCCTGCAGACTCGTGGGGACTCAGAGGAGCCGACGGCTCCTAACCGTAAATAGCATAGCAGATCCAGCGATCGTCATGTGCACGAGCATAGCCCCTCCTCCAGCACCCGGCTCCCGGCTATATTATGCACGAGTCAACAGCAGACTCGCAGATTCGCAGATTCGCAGATTCGCAAATCCTGACTCGCTGTGCAACACACAGCAGAGCAGACTCGTGCGGACTCGGAGCCGTATATAGCAGCAGATCCAGAGATCCAGCAGACTCGTCCTCATGCACGAGTCAACAGCAGACTCAGATTTGCCAAATCGCAAAATAACCCTTTTTTTTGTGATCAACATTTTTTATTAAACCTGTTCCACTCTGAGCCTGTTTTTCAGGTCTCAGGCTCGAAAATGACATTCCCAGAACAAATGACCATATCTTCCCTTCTAAAAGGGTTAAATTAATAATCTTTTCTCAAAGTAATGATAAACCTGTGAGTTGGATGTAGAAGTGTCAGAATCAATATAAATGTTTTTTATTTTAAAGAAAATTCAGATTTTACATAGTAAAAAACTGTAAATTATAGTGTCCGTCCAAAAATTATTTTTTACAGATAGTGAAAACTACCCTTGGATGATGGGTTAGTAGACTAAAAGCTTTAGGAATCCAAAGTACAACATATAATAAGTACCCTGTATCAAGATTGATGCAAAACAAGTGAAATTTGACCTTTTTAGAGAGATTTAGCCAAAAACTGGGCCATCTGGGGTCATTTGGGTGGATTTGACCTATCTCTGGCCCCCCTTGCTCGATCTGGTTGGTTGACATACCCTTGTGACCGTTAGAGCCAATAGAATCGAAGGAGGAGACTCACATAGACACACATTATAAAGAAAAAATGTTGCCGCTTCGCGTGTGGAAAGCGAAACTAAACTGGAGGAATGTCTCCTTCTGGAGTTTGGAAACTAAAACGCAGTTGTATTGCTTATGGATTATCAGAAATAATTTCAAAGAAGGCACAGACACATAGGATGAACCTATGGATTAACTGCAGCATCGTTTTTTTATCGTTTTAATGCCATTGAAGACCACTTTTGACCAAGGTGAGCCATATTTACATGTTTAGCTT